ATTGCGTAAGTATTCATACCCTTATCTGGGACAGTTGAAATTTAGCTCAGGAGCATTCATATTGCTTGTAGATGGCACTACACTTCGAGTGAAGTTAACCTGTGGAAAATTTAATTGAATGGATATGATCTGGAAAGGCACACACAGCTTAATAAAATGTCTAACAGCTGATAATGCATATCAGAGCAAAAACCACGCCCTGAGGTCAAAATAACTGCCTGTAGAGCTCAGAAACAGGTTTGTAGCATGTAGTCCCTGTTACCTTTAATGGAAGAAGTTTGAAACAACCAGGACTCTTCCTAGAGCTGGCCTCCTGGCCAAACTGAGCAACTGATGGAGAAGGGCTTTGGTTGGTGTGGTGACCAAGAACCTGATGGTCACTCTAGTTGAGCACCATGATCATACGTGGAGATAGGAGAAATCTACATTATATACTAAGATTAGGATTCTTAACGCACACACACACACACATATATATATATATATATAATATATAGTTATGTGATTTCTATATTGCAACCTCTCAGGTCTGGACTTACCAAGTTTCTTGAGGTCTGTCTCTACAGCCATGATCTTCCCTCCATAATTCTCCATACCCTCTGTTACATTATCCATTCTTTGGACCACTGTGGGCACACATTGTAAAAGCCAGTCAGACTTTGTCTGCACTATGGATTACATACTATAAATCCTTAAGTACTTCTAATTTTAGAAAGTCATTAGGCTGCTTGAGACGTATTTCTGAGACAGCATTCCTTCAAAATGCTGACCGTTTTGACCTGTGTGGACATGATTTAACAATTTTTCACTTGTCCATATAAAAATACAACATACATTCCAAACACACAGTCACGCAGGAAATGCATGACACTTCATTTACTCAGGAATTTGGAATGGATCTTGAGGAGACGCTATCAGAGCATCTCCTTTCTGGTGATTCCCAGCAGGCACCACTATAGCCATTCAAAGACAGATTTTGGACTCATCCCTGATTTGTACAATAATGAAACCTTAGTTTAAGATGCCTAAGGGCTGAAATGTTAATATAACCTACCATAACCATGACCTGACCATTTATGTTCTTATACAACGTTGTATGACATTAAACTTAATTCTAGGAGTATGTGTTCATGTGCACCACTAGAGGGCGCTTTCACTATGCATTCTGCATGATTCTTTTGGGAAGTAGTGTATGATTAAAATACCAACTGTCACATTTGTCTTTTTCTTTGGAACAGTCAGAAGGTGATCTTACAGGCTATCCTGACAAAGGCCCGGAACAGTTTCAAATCCCCCCTCTTGTTCCCAGTGTTTTTCCCATTGAATAGCTCACAGGCGGTCAAACATGAATTAAAAAATAAAAGTCATCATCTTCGCTCTCTCACTGTTTTCAAACTCATGTTTCATTCAGACATGCAGCACTCAGCTATCGCTGCCAGCAAACTCAAACACATTAAAGATCTTGGGTGTTAGCATTCCTGACTGCGCTTGTGTAACCAAACACAAAACAAATATATGCTGTAGGGGAAAAACAAAACACAGAGGTCCATTTCAAAGGCTTGTTGGTCATTTTCACACTGGGAGTCTGTCAGCGGGAGGTCAACACTGCCAGTCTCCTGCCCTCCCTCCCTCTCCCCTTTCTTTCTTATTTTCCTGTATCAGCCGTGTTGTTTTTGAATGGAGTTTAGTGGGATGGTTCTCTTAGCTGACAGAATGAGTGACTCAATCTAAATATGCACTACTGAGACACTCACTGGACTAAATCTGAACATACAATTAAAAATTCTTGTTTATATGACGTTGTTGAGAAGTGATACAGAATAAAGTAACCAGATACTTTCTGGCACTGCCAACAAAGGAAACATGACATGTTTTCAGAATGCCACAAACTCCCTGTCAATCAACCTGTGGGTTTTGGGACAGCAAATTGCCGCTAAGGCATAAAATCTCCTCTGGAGCAGGTTTGTATTGAAACTTGCTGCTTTACATGGTCTTCTCATCTGGTTGGCATTAGGGCTTTAGAGAACCAGAGGAGACATATGGACTCAATGGAGACGTGATCTGGACAATCAGATCACATTCATTTAAATGCAAATAAGCAAGAACACATTTTCAAGTACAGATTTCGGGTGATTTGTAGAAGTTAATTTGTCTATCTATCTATCTATCTATCTATCTATCTATCTATCTATCTATCGATCTGATTTGTGTTAGTGCTTTGTTGTATAATATAATACTGTTATCCCTTCAAAATATTTAATTGCAAACCCATTAGCACTGCTTGCTGCAGAAATGTTAGCTATATCACATAAATGAATAAAGTTGTTTAAAAACTTAACTACATTTGAAAGCTAAAAAATACCTCTAATTTACCGTGTCGTTCTGGAAGACAACAGCGTGCATTATCTTATCCTGGTTTTTGGCACCAGACAAAATAAACTGCGATGCTCTGTTTCACAGCGCTCATGGCTTTCCCAGCTAATACAGAAAACAGATTTCACTGTGATAGTCCGGCTGACAATATTTGGAAAACTGACTTGTTTCTACGGTGCAATATGGTTGCCTTATGTCAGGACAAATAATAAAGTGAGCCAAAGTTCAAAACTGAACAGCAGAAATTATGGGGAATGTTCATTTGTGGCACATTCTTGATACGTTTTAGCTGGATAAGATATAAACCCAGTGAACCTAGATTTTCCAGGTTTCTGTTCTAAACGACAGACAGCAGGAATGGTCTGTGCCGTACTTTTGTAGATTTGCAGTCTTCATTGTGAAAGTATAGAGGGCTGAAACTGCAAACATGTAGAATTATGCACATCACTGCAAAAGATAAATGGATGTGTCAATGTCAGGAGGACTTCTTACCTTTGTATCCAAGCACAGCCACAGCTATGGTGAGCAGTGCACAAAGTACATACAGAAGAGCAATCGCCACCCTCAGGGCCCAGTCATTTTTACATTTAGTGCATTCACTTCCTTCCTGGATACCTGCAACAGAAAAAAAAACTTATCAAAATATTAAAATGTTTTTATGCATGATGTAAATACATATTCCTCAATCTTAATTAACAACTAAAGTGCTGACAGGAAAGAGGCTTTGGTTGCTTTAACAAATTAGAAGCCAGCATTTACTTAACCTAATGTTGTTCTAAACCTATATGACTTTCTTCTGTGGGACAGAAAAGATGTTTTGACAAATGTATATATGTATATATATATATGTGTATATATATATGTATGGCATCCAGGTCAGGCTAAAATGCCCCATGAGAGAGCTGGGGGGTGGGCAGGTCGCTGGGGAGCTTGTCCTTAGACCTAAACATCTGTGTAAACATCAAAAAAAGGCCCTCCGAGCTATGGCCCCGGATGTAGGGGGGTTTGCACTGAGGGTTTGGAGAGGTGGTCTGTGTGGGGGAGATCAGGAGAGGCCTCAGCCCCCACCATCCCACCCTCACTCAACTATAACCAAACTACACCATGTAAACAAGCAACATCACCACCACCTCTGGCTATGGGTCACTGGGGTGTGCAGCGGAGAGAGAGGAGAGGAAAGAAAACAATAAATGTATCACTTCTACATTGCTGTAGAGTGTTTATTGCGGTGTTTCTTTCACCTAATGAAAACTATTAACTAGAGATGGACAAATTGCTCCTGACTTACAACACTGAAGCTATATTAACCACACAGATTTCTCTTCCTATAGCCTTTCACACATGCTTTGAAATTTCACTGAAGAAATACAGATGTGCTCTTTCAGATAGCTGGAATTCCAAGACGGGATGCTTAAATTTGTGCTCTGAAGCAACAGATAGGGAATCACGCAATGCTTTCTACTTATTAACTAGGGTTGGGAACAAGAAACAGTTTTTATTCCGTTTTTTTTAATTTTTTTTAATTTCAAAACTGAATGTCATTTGTTTCCGTTAATGGTTCCTGCATATGTTCCCACTTGACTGATGGAGTTTACCTGTAGTAGTTAATCAGTGGTACAGTAACACCATTATTACATCTAATGATCTTCAGAATGATCAACAGAATACAGCACAACCGATGTAGTTCCACTGCCAAACAAATGACTCAAATAAACTGGTTCTTTTAAGTGAATCAAAAGCATATAGCGCAACCAGTGTCATTGTATTATAAGCAAATTACTCTAATGAATCGGTTCTTTTAAGTGAATCAAAAGCAAAAGGTGCAAACCAGTATAGTCCCATTCAAAAAAAAATGACTCAAATTAACTGGTTCTTTTAAGTGAATCAAAAGCATATAGCGCAACTGGTGTCATTTCATTCCATACAAATGACTAATGAATCAGTTCTTTTAAGTGAATCGAAAGGATACAGTGCAACCGATGTAGTTCCACTCCCAAACAAATGACTCAGATGAACTGGTTCTTTTTAGTGAATTAAGTGTACAGTGCAACCGGTGTCACTGTATCCCGTGCAAATTACTCGAATGAACTGTTGCTTTTAAGGGAATCAAAAGCGTACTGCACAAACAGTGTAACCCCATCCCTGAATAAATAACTAATAAATCGGTTCTTTTAAGTGAATCAAAAGCAAACAGCGCAACTGATGTAGTTCCATTCCCAAACAAATGACTCAAATATACTGGTGAATCAAAGTGAATCAAAAGCGTACTGTGCAACCAGTGTCATTCTATTCTGTGCAAATTACTCTAACAAACTGGCTCTTTTAAGTGAATCAAAACCGTAAAGCGCAACCAGTGCAGTCTGATTCTGAAGTAACTAAAAAGTCTGTGTAAACTGTTCATGTTTTGTATTTACGGGCATGTGCTGCTTCAGTTAGGTTATTAATGAGAAATAATGAGGTTATAAGAGAGAAACAATGCGGCAAGACGTGCATCCAAATGAGAGAGCGAGAGAGACTGCGAAACTAGACGTTTCTTCTTATATTAACTACCGTACTCTACGATTAGCTCAGTGAATAATTAAAAAAAACATAGACCCGGCTAGAACAAGCGGAGTGATACAAAATTGTGAAAAGGCGTTCCTGTAGCGGTACCAGTACAATATCTCACGGTTCTCAACCAATCAGATTTGAGAACCAGAACGAACTGTTGTATACTATTGAAATTAAATCATCATATAGCAATGGAATTGCATTCCGAAAGTACAAAAACAACTGTTAATGGAACCTAATAGGAACTAGAATGGTTCCTTTGAGGAATTTGAATCAAAACCTAACTTGTTAATTTCTTCAAGATTCAATGTTTCCTTGTTCAAACCCCCTACACTTGCCAATAGATTAATGCAGTCTATATGGACCGTACATGACAACATTATCTATAAACATTCTGACACACATCCAAACACCCACACATTTAATGTTTGTAACTCAAACACACACAGAGAAAAACCTAAAGGGAAAAGCAAACTGAGGCCCTGGAATGGATGACCATACCTTGCCCTTTACTACAGGGCTTTAGGGAGAGTCTGGAAAATGGCTAGAGTGTCATTTTCAACAGGCCAGCAGTGACTGGTTCTGCTCCAGGAAATTCCCAATAAGAAAATTAAAGCTGCAAGCAGCGATGAACGGGCCCTCGCACAGGGACACGCCCCTTGACGAAAACTCAAGATCTTCGCAATTTAACGTCACAAAGGCCTTATGATGACCCTCACCAAATTTGAAGATGATCCGAATAAAACTGTAGGAGGAGTTCGTCAAAGTACGAGGCCTGGAAATGTCAAAAACTGCACAAAAATTGTACAGTAAATTCAAAATAACGTGCATCCTGTTGGGTTTTGGATTTTGTACCAAGAGACTTTTTTGTAGGTAATGGTGTGTTACGCACGTGTACCGATTTTCGTACATGTACGTAAAACGTAGCTCGAGGTGCACTCCGTTGTAATTTTACAGGTGGCGCTATCGAGCCGTTTTGCCACATCCACTTCTGAAACCCATATCAGATGTAAATTTTCGCCAGTTCTGATGCGTGTGCAAAGTTTCAGGAGTTTTGGAGAATGTTTAGGCCCTCAAAAAAGCGATTCACTTTCGAGAAGAAGAATAATAATAATAATAATAATAATAATAAACGGAGCAATTCCAAGAGGGTCCTCGCACCGCGGTGCTCGGGCCCTAATAACTAGTCAAACAGTCTAAATGAATTTACAGTAACACACAACAGCCCATACCTAAAGTTTGTTAACGTACATTGGATGATTGTTGTTCTAGTCAACACTTTACAGTATGCATGCTACATATCTCATTATGGATCATATTAAAAGTTGGAGGAGGACAGAATAGAGAAGTGCTGCTTTAACACTTGTGTGAGATGAGGTTGTTAAGCTGTGGCAGGAGATTGAGGAGGGAAACGCTGAGGCCCGCATCCATGCCTGTGCAACAGCTGTGTTTCATTTGGACTCAGGAAGTCGCTCAAAGAAAATTCCTGTACTTATCTTTTTCCTCTGTACCTGCTATAAGACCCACTCACACTTGCCCAATGCAACACAACACTTGTGATGGAAATTTCCATGGCAACAAAAATACATTTTTCCACACTACACACAGAAAGCGGTCCATGTTTGAGCTGACTTTTGGTTTGGCATACATATATAAGGGTGATTCTTCAATATGCTCTTTTGCAAAAACTATTATCCTAGTTTTAGGGTAAATTAGCTTTCAGATTTCCTATGGTCTCTTTAATGACATTTTCCTAATTTTTTAGGAGTACTGAAGTGCTAAATATGCCATAATTTAACTATTTTGCACCACTACCCAGACTTGTCCTCCAAAAAACACATCTGAAAAATCATAAAAGATCTTCCAAGGAAGTCTAATTTGGTCTCATAGAGGCCTCAAGCAGCCATTACAAATATGTTTGCACATTTACAGGGGGTGACTGATTCATAATTATGTTTAATTAAGCCCTCCATAATGTTCAAACATGTAAGCTACAGTTCAAAAGCTATGACGAGTTACTGATAAATTAAGCAAATCTGAGCAGTGAACCCTTCTGGGTCCAATCTGAGCTCAGGCATTTGAGGAAAAACAATTATTTTGCCATTTGATAATAATTACAGCCTTATCTGCATGATCTGAATGCAATGAATGTGCAAAAGCTGTCATAATAAAGTACTTCTTTTCATAATTTAATTTAAGCATTACCTCAACTGATTTAATGTTGGCCATTGTTTCGTGACTATACAAATTTGGAAGATATAAAATAATTAAACATGACAGATTGGCAGCCCTGAAAGCAAACGGTTTAACAAACATGATCAACTAGTAACAACAGACCCAGTCAGTATTTTAAGATGAAGAGCAAACAAAATCTTGCAGTATGTCATTCAGGTTTATTTCAACATAAGAAAACAATGAGTTTTGTCATGTTAAAAATATTCTGGATATCTATCTCTATGTGACCATTGCCAACATCTGGAATCAACACTCATAGTAAGACTCAAATAAAATGCTATTTGCATAAAATTCCTTTCAGTTGTGTAGCATCAGAAATAGTAAACTTTGTGAATCTGGTGCACATCTCTGGATCCAATCATCAAGCCCCCAGCGTCCCTCATTAAAAGCCCCCTCTCTGGAATGTTAACAAGCGCTCTAAAAAAGGGGTATAACTACAGAGACAAATTACTACACCATTATGTTTGTAAACCTCTGAACTGTACTGCTCCACACCACTAGCATGCAACAGTAACATTTTTTCCCCTTTTTTGACAGCAAACAGGTTTATAACACTTTAAATAGGCACAAGCATCTGGAGCTTATTACACAAAGGGGAATAAAATCAAAGGATGCAAGAGAAAATTTGATACATCATCCCTTCATGCCAAGGACTGAAGAACAAACATCTAAAATGTCAGCTTAGTTTACAATTTGGATGCAAGGAATGCTTTTCCTCAAAGAACCCTTTATATCTTCAACCTTATTTAGAAAACACCACCATGGTATAGGAAGTGTAGTATATTTTAGCTTATGAATGGCTTGAACATGCCACCACACCGTATCCGTGT